TAACTTTAATAAAGTCTATCTATTTCTATTAATCCCCTTTAAAGTCTCTATAATAAAACTAGGCGCTATATCTTAGATTAATATAGAATATTTTATAGAGTTCTTAAACTAGTAGGCTAATACCTAATTTGGATCTAGGTTTACTAGCTCTTATACTTAAGGAGTATTTAATCTATATCTTTATAAGTTTCTAAATAACTTAATTAAAGTCCTTATTATTGGATTACTATAATAATTAAAAGTATATTTATTAAGGTATTTTATTAGGAAAAAAACTTATAAAACTTTCTAAGATTAAATAATAGTTCTTAAATTATAGTAGGATTTATATTATTACTACTAGATAGAATTAAAGAATATACTATATATCTAAGTTATATATATATAAGTAAGATTATAAGAGTTTTAGCTAGACTACTCTAGTAAGGAAGGGTAGCCTAAGATCTTAAAGTATAATAAGACCAATTATATCTAGTATAGTAACCTAAGTAAAATCTATAATAAAATTATAAAGTAAGCTTCTTAAAATATAGTACTATTAAATTAAGTAAGGTATACTTTTATTTAGCTGTAAGAATAAAAAGATTCTTAAAATAAAGTACTATTAGATTAAGTAAGATATACCTTTAAGGTATTTTGCTATAGGAATAAGAAATCAAGTAAATAATATTAAACTCACTCTACTTATCTATAAATTAGTATTTAAATTAAACTTTAGGAACTCTTATCTATATTTTTATTATTTAAATATCATTATTTTAAGACTTTTCTATATTTCATTTATGTTATTATTCTATAGATTATCTATATTCTATTCTTAGCCTTCTAATATATTATCTATTTTGACTACCTTATTAATTTTTAAATTAATAGTAAATCTAATTATTATTATACTACTAAGCCTACCCTTATTAATTTCTATTAAAGAATTAGGTATTACTATTCTTCTATAAGATTAACGTGCATGTATAGCGAACCGGCCAAACAAGCGAACCGGCCAAAATTTTCTACACTCGCGATTGAAATTGTAAGAACTCTACCACAACGCCTCTAATTAAAAAACACTATTCAGAAATTTCTTCCTCAGATACTTCCTCTATAACATTACAGGTGCGCGTATTATGACCAGTCTCTCCGCAGTTGCCACAGCGCCGTGCACGTGATTCTTCCCTCGGCTTCCGACCACTACTTCTCTTTATTTCCTGCATTACCTGCTCACCAACGTCTCTATCATCCTGTAGGTCCTGCGCTTCCTGTTGACTAAGTGATCCTCCTTGCTGTAGGCGTGTTTTTTTAGCTCTACGGCGCTTACTTAGTACTTCATTTGCTTGTCGAAGTCTCTGGTTCTCAGCTTTCAATAGTACTATCTGGTGCATTACTTTTGATGCACCCTTCGTAAACTGGTCAATGGCCTCGTAAATAGGGGTTGGAGAGCTACTTTGGTGGCGTAAAATTCGATCTTTAATAAATGCAGTCTGTGATAAGGCTTCAGTAGGGTTATTTGGTGTCTGGGAAACCCAAGGCTGAGCGGAATACGGGGGGGAGTTTGGAGGCGTTGGCGTCTTTAGCTTAAGATCAAGTGTAGAAATTACACTTTCTGGGTCAAATGGAAGAAGCCCAGCCCCTCGGAACCCTCCTCGGATATTGCTTTCTGTCATTGCAATATTAAATGCGGCGTGGAAGGCAGGAAAGAAATCATCCTTAGTAATGTGGATGATCTGAGCCCGCATCATATCTTCAATTTGCTGACCATATGCCCTTTTCAAAGGGCTAAAACAGCCAACGTCGAGTGGCTGGAGTATATGAGAAGAATGAGCAGGCATACAAAGAGTGATAATGTTGTTTTCCTTGCAATATTCCTCAAATTCGTCGGAGTGGTGGCTTTCATGGCCGTCGAGGACTAATAGACGATAACCACCAATAGATTGGGACTTTGTATGCTTCTCAAAATGTCGAATCCAATCCATGCCTTTCTCATTTGTTGTCCAACCATTTTCAGTAATAGCAATCACCCAGTTAGGTGGAAATCCACTGTTTTGGTACCAAGAAGCGAGGTGATCTTTTGCGACAACAATCACAAACGGTGGAACACACCAGCCTTGGGCATTAACCCCCTGGATTACTGTAACCCATTCCCGATTACCAGGCTGTACTCTTTTTGCTTTTACACGTCCTTCTGAGCTTGTAATAACCATTGCAGTTGAGATAACGCCCATCATAAACCCAGTCTCGTCAAAGTTGTAGATATCTGCATCGTAGATTCCGTACTTCGCTATTGTGTTTCGTACAAGCTCAAACCAGCCACGAATGACTTCTGGATCTTCGCACTTAGCTCTCTGATAGTCGTATTTTCGTTGGAAGCGTGTCTGGAGTTCTGGGCGGCGCTTAACAAAGTTATAAGCCCAACGCGTCCCGACGCGTGGCGCGTCGCGTGCTTCAAGAAGTCGATTTGCTATATCTTCAACTACAGATATCCGCGGAGGAAATCCTTTTGTAGCTAGGTCGAGGATATGTTGAACAAGTACTGATTCCTCTAGCTCGGTCATTTTCCGTGAATTGGCTAAAATATCGCGACGTGAAGGTATACCAAGCAAACGTCGACCTAGCTTCCGGTGGTCTACAGAATAGGTCCTGGCAGCAGCTCGAGCACGTGAATTTGGGTCTTTTTGCATAGCTTGGATAGCTAAGACTAACCGGCTTTCGTCATTTTTCAGAGGCATCCTTCGATGTAGAGAAATTTAATATTTCGTGGAGGTGTGGTGGGGTCGCCGGGTTTTGGCCGGTTCGCTTGTTTGGCCGGTTCGCTATCCATGCACGTTATAATATACTATTTACTAATTACAGAATTATTATTAAGCCTTCGAAGTTAAAGAACTAAAATAGTAAAGTTTAAATATCCCTTAGAACAATATTATATATTTATACTACTATTGTGACGGAGCTGGATTTCATTTGACAGGATTTCATTCGCTTGGCCAAGCACGTGACGAGACTTGGCATTGGAACAACTTAAATAACTTCGCTCCTTCCAGATTCTCTTCTCTCTTTAGTTTGATTTCTTCGTACCTACGGTTTTAGTTCTAGCAATTGATTCAAAAGCTGTATACACTTTATCCTTTGTTGGCATCCGTGACAAGAAGCGCCTAGTTAGCCTAGTTAGCCTAGTTAGCCTAGTTAGCCTAGTTAGCCTAGTAAGTAATAGTTGTCCTCCTACCAACTAAGAGTTATTTAGTACTTATAAAACAAAGAACAACTATAATAAAGTATAAATCTATAAGTTAACTTTTAGGAATTATAAGTATAAAAGAAGAACCTATTATATAACCTCTAAATCTATGATCTAGTTAGCTAGAAGTTCTCTAGAAATTATCCTACTTACTTCTTTATCTATTACTCTTTTATTATATAGAATTAGGTTCTTATTAAGTTTTATATACTACTCTTTTATTCTACTAAGATTAGGTCTAATTAGAAGGTATATTTACTTATTATTAGCTATATCTAGGTAGAAGATAGTTACTTATAACCTAACCTATTATTTGTAACGAATACTCAAACTGGCTAACTAAACTTGGCTGGGTGTTCGCTGGTTGGTATGCTATGATAAGAAGAAGACTATCGGGTTGTTCACTTGGAAGTGAACTCGTTACTTGTATCAAAGATGTCAAACTAATATGATAAGATTGATAACTAAGTTGAGCACGAAGCTCCTATCTAATGGCAGACGTGCCAGTCTTATATAGAACCTTCATACCCCGCGTATGGTCCGAGTATAGAGTAGTATAAGCCTCCCTTATACTTCCTCATACTCCGGTAGTATAGAGTAGTATAAGCCTCCCTTATACTTCCTCATACTCCCTAGTCACATGATCTTCTGTAAGGAAGAAATCCTTGGATCGCCTAGCTACCCTAAGCGATCCCCATTTGCTATAAGAAATCTGAATGTGCCTGTCGAGGGTTGCGCCTTTTATTATGACAAGTATCACGTGAACACGTGATTCGTGACACCTACCCGAAGGACTCGATTCAGATATCGTAAGTATAAGAAACACCTTTATAGCGTTAAGTACTAGGATAGATTCTATAGCTACGAGGTAGTTACGGACATAGACGTCTATAATAGTACTAGGGAACGCGAGGAGGTAAGTATAATACTTACAAGGTAGATATCGTTGTTTATAGTATTGTTATACTTATAATTAAATTATTAGCTTTATAATAATATTCGTACTTCTAATAAGACATAGAGTTTTAATACTTGGCACGTCCTAATTAGGTATAGCGGCGCCATGGCTCGCTTATAGCCCTGTACCAAGCCTGGGCATTAAGTGATTTACGGTCTAAGGGATACTTAAAAAAACGTTTGTTTACGGAGATGAATCTTAAGAGTGGATAAAAAATCTCCCCACCTCCAAATGTACATATGCGACCTTGAGGGGATAATGTCAAGCTTGAAAAGAAAGTACTAATTCCTAATTCTAATTCCCTAATAAACTCGAAGTTTACCCTAAGCGAGGTAGAGGGGATATATATGGTAGTACAGTAGTTATAGTAATATACCCTAGTTCGAAGAGTACTACTTCGCTTAGCTCGACACGCAAGGATAAACGATTGATTATAATTCCTCTCTCTTAGTAAGGAAAATCAGTAAGCATCATAGAATCTTCGTAAGATTTTCTTTGGAGACGGATGCTTAGTTGTATAATAGGGTAGGTAGATACACGCAATCTTCTTATTAATTCTCCCGTCTATGAATCTAATAGAACTTTTCTAACTCCAAGTACCGGTGACCATAAAATCTCGTAAATCATCAGACATCTATATACACTCCCTCCCCCTCCCCCCCCTTTACTGTACCCTCCCCT